AAAATATTTAAAGTACAGATTCGACCCAGAATTTTATTATATTATGTACCTATAGATTACGCAGTACTGATTAAATGTGGACTTCATGGTTTGTCAACAAACTGCCTTTTGCAAAAAAAACATAGTAAACAAATATATTTTTTCTCCTTCATTATAAGTATTTGTGACAAGGAAGACATAATATAAAAAACAAGGCTACAACGGATCACTGGATTTAGTAAGAGATGAGCGACAATCAAGGAAAACAAAAAACAATACATTTTCGGTTAACCTTAAAACTTTTGTATAAAAACGGACTCCACTTAGCAACCAATAAGGAAATTAGAATTTGACTTACTTAAACACAAGGAATTGAAGTTTAAAATTGAAGTTTTAAACGCATAATAAACACGAAAATCATTTTAAATTATAGAGAGGTCTAAGCACATATTAGATGCAGACAAAAAAACAAAACGTCTATTTAAAATATGTTATTGAAGAATGTTACGTCCTTTGAAAAATTGAAACTTTGAAGTTATACTACTTTTGGCACGTTTGGAAAAAATTATGAGAGTAAAATTTATATGATGCGCGCGCACACCGACAGCCAAAAAGTGACATGATGAAGTTATCTGCATTCCTTTTAAAAACAGTGAGTTGTGACATATGGGATAAAATCTTTAGCTATTTTTGTTCTGTTACGCCAAAGAAGTTTAAGTTCTTACACCTGTACAAAAGTATACACACGTTTTTTTATTAGTTATTAAAATGCGTATTTTTTTATGTTTTTTTTTTCATTTCAGTTTTTTTTATTAAAAATGGGCTCACTCTTGACCTTCATCTTAGCTCGAAGGCATAGATAAGGTCTATGATCTAGCGGTTTGCCCAGGAGAAGCCTGTTGACACGCACCTTAAAAAGTGACATATGGATAATTTAGTCGGATTTTGTTTAATAATATGTATGAATATTTATTTTGGTACGAATATTTATTTTTTTCTACGTTTTATTAGATTAAAATGGAACATATCTCTAAAACTATGTTTTATTTCAACGTTTATTGATATTTTTCTAATTATAATGATAATAATCATTTTCATCACTTTCTTATAAAAACACATTTCCTTGAAAAGCAATATGTTTAAATAAGGATACGCGTACCGTACATAAAGGGGTTTATGAGTGAAATATACTTATAGGTATATTTAAATTATGGTACCTTGTGCCTTAAAAGATTCCAATTTCCACAGCAAGGTCTTGCAAAATCCATCGTAAAATGAAATGGGCATACATTTAGGTGTATCTTAGTAACCTCAAAAGCGAGCAGATGCAGCGCCATTTGCAATAAATGTTTTATGATGATAAAATGCTATTTAAAATATTGGGGGTTTTAAACGTATTATTCATTTATGGTTATAACTTTTTAAATTGACCAATTATCATCGATCTAAAAAGTACTAGATACACAACCCCATGCAAAGGATCTCTTAAAACTGTCACAAATTGTGTTTAGGTAATTATTCTAGTTGAAATAAATATATAACAATGTAAATTGAACCTTAAGTCCAATGTTTAAAGTAGTTTCTACAAAAAAATTAAAAGCGCGCTGAAATGTTCAAATGAGCGCTCAATCGGCAAGGAGATTTTTATCGCTGATTGTGTATCTAGTGCTTTTTTGATCGATGCCTATTATAGATATTGTTTCGTTGTTACAAGTATCGTCTTCAAGCTAGAGAAAACACCTGTACCATGCTTAAATATATTTATTTATCAATCCATGGCATGGAGAGCTCATAAGAAATTCCCGTAAGTGTGAAAGAAACAGAACGTTTTCCAGAAGATGACAAAAAAAACATATTTTGTATTAGATTTTTTCACACGATTTGTCTTTATTTTATGTTTAATAGAGATAGAATTTAAAGTTTTTCGAAAACACCAAAAAGTGAAGTTAAGAAGAAGTGAAGAAGTAATAGCAAGATAGTGGAAGCACTAGTGCTCTAGAATGTTGTACTTACTTAGTGCCTACAATTAAAGGCTTTATCTCAGACTAGCGACTCACCTCACTTCGCTCGGGCTTTTCCCTATGTTGATTTCCCATACAAAGTTTCCTCCCCATTTTCACCCCCTTAAGGGATAATTTCCGGGATAAAAACTAACCTATCTCCTTCCCAGGGTATCAAACTATCTTCTTATCAAACTCCATCTAAATCAGTTCAATAGTTTCGGAGCCTATTCGGTACCAACAAACAAACAAACAAACAAACAAACAAACAAACAAACAAACAAACAAACAAACAAACAAACAAACAAACAAACAAACAAACAAACAAAAAAACAAATCTTTACTCTATATAATATTAGTATAGACTAAAGAATAATATAGACAGAGTATTATCATACAACTAAATTTTGTCCGCCAAACAATAATTTAAAATAGTATATAAATATTAAGGATTACTCATTACTGTGCTAAGTAAGTAAAGGTTAATAAATAAAATAGAATTACATAGATAAAACAAATAAACGCAAATAATTAAAGTATGGATGGTTTAAAGCTGTTCTGCCAAAGTAACATTGTTAGGTCACATTTATTCCAAAACATTGGCTACCAGGCTATCAGAACCATATAGGAGGTACGTTATTCTCGCATATTACACATACAAAGAACATCTATCTTACTTCGACCCTTACATTTCCTACCCGCTGTAAAATATACTTCTCCCGTTTCAACACATTCATTTTAATTCTAAATGCATTCTGTAAAAGGAAAAAAATGCTATGGATATAATGTTATCAGTGCAAAAGCCAAGCCTTTTATTCACCCTGGCATATAATGAATATTTCGGCAAATTCACAAAATAAATATACAAATATACACATAATTTAGTTAGTTTTCAAGTTTTACTTTATATTATCAAAAGTGTTTTCTTTCTTTAAACTAAGACAGCGCCATCTATTGATAACTTCCAAATTAAATTATTATTCAAATAATATCAACAGGATATGTCCAGGACATGGTTTAAAGGTGTGCCTTTGATTTTACTAATGGATTATGATTTACGTGTAACAATCATCTATACTTTTTAACGTTTTCATTTATAACTTTAAAAAAAATAGGATGATAAATATTTCACAATATTACAAATTTTTATAATACGTTAAAATAATATGTTTTTGTAGCTGCTTAAACGTATTTGATTCGATGAATTTTATTTGTTTTCCGTGCTGAATCACACAGGTTTTTTTACTGGAAATCTTATAGCTAAAAGTACTCTCAAAGGTTATATGAGATCACCCATACAATTAAATTAATTTATTAAAAAATAATTGAATTAACGAAGATCTCATCTAACATACACCCGAATTGTGTACACTTCCGTATATAAATGTAATTAATAATTGCGACACTTTTTGCCCGCCTTACCCGCAGCTTGTATCCACAGTAAATTGGTAGTATCACGTTTAAATCAAAATATGGGCTACCAGGTAAACAGAAACAAATAGGACATACACCTATCTTTATCCTATAGGTCACAGACTGTTCTATCTTGCATCTCACTTCAACGCAGATTGCAAAGGCTTCTGCAGTTTCCATTTTGTTTAAAGCAATAACATATTACTTATATTTATCTCACTTTAACGTATTAAAATCCGTATAAAATAAACGAGTACACTATAACTACTGCACGCGTGCTTTAAAAATTAAAGATTAATATTTTGATAGTATATACATATCTCACTCACTCTTAATCTAGCTGAAAATTATGAAAACAGTACAAACGTTTGTGATAAAAATTCTTATGTCATTGAATTTAGTTTATATAGCATACTAGCGACTCACTCTCGCTTCGCTCGGGTCCGTCCTTGGATACATTTAAATTTTTTTAACGGAATCCTAATTCTTTTTCTAATATAAAAGTAATATGTTAGGTACTCCTTATAACATCCCGTCAAAATCGGTGAAGCCATTTCAGAGATTAGTCGGAACAAACAAACAGACAGACAAAATAAAAAAAAATGTTTTTTCTTATATGTACCGCATATACTTTCATATGCAATTAATCAAAAGTTGTTTATATTACACTCAATATTGAGAAATTTCTTCAAACATAAATTAACACAATTCATACTCATAGGACGCAATTTTTATTCATTCACTTCATTCATTTAACCTCCTGGGACCCAGGAAAATTTATTTTAAGGAATTACGATGAAAACTATCCCTACCTAATAAGCAGTTGGCCAGATAACCGAAAAAAATAATTAAAAAAATCTAGTTCGGAAAATGTAGATTTTCTCATATGCGACATAAGGTCCCTATACAGACTGTTGTTTGTGTATATACATGCCATGGAACATAAGTTATTTTTTTGAATTAATAAGCTAGGTAATAGGTAATTAATGTTTAAAAAAAACTTCAACTACAATCATTCATAAACCTTAATCTTAATACAGGGTTGGTGTTCCTGGGAAGTATTGTCGTATCCTGTAAATAGAATTATCATTTCATTAATGCTAATGTTATCCGCTCTTGGTTGACTATGATACCTTGTAATATTTCATCAAAAAGAGATGCAACTTTCCAAATCTTATTCGTTTTGTCTTGTTTTGAAACTTCAGCTTCAGCGTCAACAACAACTTTCAAAGATGACCGAATGTCGAAAAAACGTACTCAAGTCAATGATTCTTTTATAATTTGAATGCCATATTTGCTTGAACAATACATGCAATTTTGTTAAATTAATAAAACCTATTATTAGGTATATGGTTATAAAAGATTTCAATTCTTTCAAAGTCATCTTCAATTCATTTCCTTGTTTTAGCAGATAGGTTCTATTTGTCGCGTCAACCATTTACTCCAAAATTTTATCAGAAATATATTGTTAGAAATAGTCAATCCAAGTATCAGTATCAATAGATTTAAATCTTGGCTGAAAAATTGGTCTGTCTAAGGGCAAGAAATTGCAGTTCCTTCTGTTATTTACCAGCGACGATCTATCATTTTGTGCACCTCTCGTTCTCAATCTCCTGCCTCTTGAACTTCCTCCAAGTGTCCTAGGTTCATCTCTCGTTCTAGCACGACACCCAGTGGTAGCTGTAGTTGATGAGGCCAGAGATATTCAGAACCCGGACGAGTTTCGTCTTCTGAGTTTGAAGAACCGGAACCAGAACTAATTTTCTCTTCATTTTGAAATATTGGCATAGGTACTGGGTCTTCTTCATCAGTTAGATCGAGCTCTGACTGTTCTAAATAATGCACTATTTCGCTATTGTGTATACCCAGTAAAACTATAAAAGTAATGTAAAGATAAACAGCTTTATTAGGAAAAACATCTCTACGTAATACAGGTATTACATTAGGTTCCTTTGATTGACGGTAGTCATTGGGACCTTGTGTAATACCTGTATGACATTCAAATTTACCCACTTATTTCATAATACTATGGCAAAAGACAACACTTATGGATATATTTATAATAAGCAGGCACATAAGGCATAAAGAAAAACATAAAGCGTTAACAGAATTGTTAATATTTTAAGAGAAAATACGAAAATCCTTACCACGTGTTTCTGGCCAAGACGCCATTGTTCGCTCTAACCAAGAAACTAAAGTAATACATCTCATCTCATTTCGTCAGCCAATCACAGCCTAAATCGACGGGCAAATACCTTATATATTGAATTAAAGTAAAAGTTACAACAAATCTTTAAAGATGGCGGTGCTATAATGTTTTCCGTTCTATGTAATATGGATATGACGCCAGGTCCCAGGAGCTTAAAATATAAAAAAAAATATTTACATATGTCACACAAACAAACTTTTGCATATATGCGAAATTCAGTAAATGTGTTTCATTAATTGTGCAATTAATATTAATAAAGTAGAATAGATAAGATTTTTTGTAGTCCATATCAGGGTGATACGGTTTTATCAAACCCTTAAAGAAAATAAAGAATAAAAAAATGTTTATACTTTTTTGCTAGGGAACGGCTCAACGGTATATTTTCACAGAGGCTAATGTTTACCTATCTCCAAACATGGATAATATTCTTCAAAAAAAATTATACCTACCTATTTAGTAAAAAAGAAATCATTCTACAATTTACCAAGAAATTGTCTAAGATAATACAAGAAAAAGTAATTTTGAATTTTGGGAATCCGTTAAAAATGTTTTATAATAACCCGGCCAGTAATAAAGTAATAATGTACAGACAGATAAAAATTAAAAAAGTGTTAATGTGACTTCTATTTTTATAACAGCTATCTACTAAATTCATAATTTATTTATTGTGAATGTGTTAAAATTAGAAAGAAGGAGTTAGTTATAAAGGTAATAAAAGTTTCGAAAATCCCTTATTTGTTTAAGTCGCGTTTAACCATAACATGGGCTACCAGGCTATCAGAAACACAAAGGATGTCCAGCGGAACATACAATGGGTACTTTATAAGCACGACCCAGTACAACACAGTACTGACTGACTTTATCCCAGCATATTTTTGATACCAAAGAAATGTCCGTCTCCTTCATTAACTTTTTGACATCGAACGGACACCACACGTTCTCGTCTCAGAATGAATGAACTATACTATACCTTTGTTAGAAAAAATATTTACTCCATAAGAATTAATCTCATGTGTAAACAATCATAAAAATTTGTTTTATTGACTCATGTATATAAAAATATAGCCAAAACTCATTAACTACTAATATTTTTTAAGCTTGTACATACATACATACATATCTTTGGAATTCAAGCTTTATTGAAGACTGTCGGTGTAATCTCACCTCACAGACTGTGAGGAAGCTACCGCCGGCTCGGAAGGCAGTTCTTCTGAGAAGGACCGGTCAGCAAGCCAATCAGCCAACATATAGAACGCCATAACAAAAGGCATATACGAAATTATTAATTAATCTTTCATTCATAGGTTAAAGAAATTTCTATTTCATTGAAATGAAAGTCAATTCAATCCAATTTTTTGTTAATGGCTTCAAAGCGTGCCATTTGAGCACAGATTACTTCACCAATGTCACGTAGAATGGAGATGAACATGACCAGCCCAAAATTTTCAGAGCATAGAGTATTTATTTGTACTAAAAAGTAAAAAGTCCAGGTTATATATGAGTCTCTAAATTACCATAGAATAAAAAGCATATTTTCGAACACGCGTAATCCGCAAACTTGGTGGGGAATGTACATGAACGAATTAGTCTCTAATTCGTTCATGGGACTGTAGTACCCAAAGACGTTTGAGCGTTACGCTCAAGATACAGTACTACTAGGCTATCAGAAATAGATAACAGGTACTACTACATTCAACCTGTCAAAATATACTGAACGTAACATCAGCTATATAACTTTAACTATAGAATTTAAGTTATATTGACCTTTACGAATTTTCTTGTGTTTAAAATAAACTCATAGACGACTCATTTCAACGCAATAAAATTCAGTGTGAAATGTATGAATGTAATATATTGCAAAAGTTTAGTCAGATAGGTAATATAAGAACAAATGTTAATGTATTAAGTACTTGATTAAAGTAGCGCCTATAACATTTTTTAACATTAAATTTAATTTTTAAGTTTTAAATATTAAACTTTCAATTCAACTTTATATATTTTTGAAGTAAAACTACTTCAACTGCGCGTAAAGGTGTGCGCCCATTATTTTATGAAAATTACATATATTCTGAAAAAATTACTTGTATTTTTAAGAAAGAACGTTTTTCCATTTTCCATTCCATTCCATGAAAAATCGTAATTTTTTTTATGGGAGTATTTTATCATATATTTTATATTTTTTAAATTTTAAATCGAATATTGAATAAATTGGCTTTAGCGTTCCAAAAAAATTCCAGACCTCGTTCCTAAAACAGCAGCTTCAAGCTCTATAGTATTTTGAAACTATCACGACTTATTCTAACAAAGAGCAAATTTTATAAATTACAAGTCATTGCCCGCGGCTTTGCTCGCATATTGGACGATATTAAGTAGCCTTAACACCTCCAGGTAAATTTGTAAGAAATTTATTAAAATCCTAAGAAGTCTATTGTTAACTGACACGCCGGCGTGTCCGCGGTCGTGGAGGGATTAAAGTTAACTAACTTCATATTATTCATTTCAAATTTTCCTCAAAATTACAGGATATAAAAGTAAACAACCAGAATAATAAAAAACATTCGCATTTATAATTTTGTATGACAGATAATGAAATATTGTTATTGATTATAAATATCAATGGATATTGTGTAAGTACTAAGTAACCTAAAAATGGCTAGCAAGCAGTAAGTCACGTTTTACCCAAAACATGAGATACCAGGCCATCACAAATACATAGGAGATACTCCAAACAGATCTGCACTCTATATTTGCTATCTGTCTCTCTTCAATGCCAATTAGACAGACCACTGCATTTCCATCCCCTAAAAACTATATCTGTCTCTTTTCTCCGTATAACATGAAGTATTAAAGTATACACTATATTTCTCTCACGACGTCCTCAAAACATATTTTAAAAATAGTAAAATTAAATACTAAATTAATGTAAACAAAACCGTGGAACTAACTGCCTTGGAGATTACATTTTTATCAGTGATTCTGATATATGTTATTACGTTTCGTTACGTGGTTTATTACGTTTTTACATTAAAAAAATCGAAGGCCAGGACATAAATTGCGCCTTGGAAATGAACTAGGCTTTTGTATTCCTACCCAAAGCTTCTCAACAATTCATGTGGAATTAGGCATATTTTATTAACAAAAAAGTGAACAGTTCCTAATAATCCATACTTCACATACTAATATTATAAATGTGAAAGTGCGTTTGTTTGTTTGTCCTTCTTTCACGTCCAAACAGAGTGACGTGATTTTTTGTGTGGAGATAGTTGGAGGGCTGGAGAATGACGTAGGCAACTTTTTACCGCGGAAGATTATCTAATTCCCACGGGAAACACGTTATAATACAATCCAAAAAATATTTATGTTCTGAATTACTTGAAACTAAGTATTAATGCTCTCCAATAAATACGTATTTTAGCATTTTTTGAAATTCATCCAATAAGTGGGTAAAACAGGGGATGAAAGTTTTTATGAAACTACATTTTTAGTTTCTTGTAGTTATAGCGCGAACGAAGCCGCGGGTTCAGCTAGTTAAGTAACATATTGCTATGTATATTGCTTTACTATTCATTTCATGTCAGCTCTAACAAGTAAGTTAGTTTCGTATGTTGCTTATACATATTGTTCTGGGTATACATACATTATTAGGTACATATTGAATAAATATATTGTTTTATAATTACTAGCGACTCACGTTCGCTTCGCTCGGGTTCGTCCCTAGCTTGCTTCCCAATACAAAATTTCATCCCCATTTTCATCCCCTTAAGGGATGATTCCGGGATAAAAATATATAAATATTTCCTCCTACCCTCATCTCCCGTGTTTTAATCGCGATTTGAGTATGCATATGTAATGTATGGACAATATCCAAATAACTTAATGTTATATAAATACATAGAGACGAACCCCGGCGAAGCGAGGGTGAGTAGCTATATAACTTAAAGCAAAAACGTTTTTGAAGTTATACTTCTTTTGGCACGATTAGAAAAAAATACGAAAATAAAATTTTTACAATGCGCGCGCACGCCGACAGCTAAAAAGCGACATGATGAAATTAGCCGGATTGCTTTTACAAACAGAGAGTTATGCCATATGGGATGAAATATTTAGCTATTTTTATAATACTTTCTTAGATTTACGCGAATATTTGACATTTTAAATAAAACTATCTTTTCGGATTTTGTCGCGGATTTATTCGCATTTTTGTTTCCCGACGTTTCGAATGCTTTACAGCATCCATGAGTCTCTTCCGTGACCATGGATGCTGTAAAGCATTCGAAACGTCGGGAAACAAAAATGCAAATAAATCCGCGACAAAATCCGAAAAGATAGTTTTATTTAGCTATTTTTGTTCTGTTTTCGTCAAAAAAGTATAACTTCTTACGTTTGTACATAAAGACACACACGTTTTTTTTTTTGTAGATTGAACGCCGGCGAAACTGCGGGTTCTGCTAGTATTGTCATTTATTGTTTTATATCTTTTGCATAATCGAATAATATTTTTATTAAATGCACTTCTATGTATATGTAAGTTAAGTCTGTTTGGCGTATGCAGTCGGATATCAAACGATAAAAGATTTTTTTTGTTAATTTAATTTTTAAATAATGGTACATAAGGTAGCCTAAGACAACTACTGTCCGCCTCGTATAAAAATTATGCCAACGTTGTATGGCGTAGTAGTAAATAAACAATAGAAAAATTAAATGTTATTACGGACATTATGGAACCCTGTAAAAGTCACGCTTAAACCAAAACATGAACTACTAGGTATTCAGGGAATACTAGGAGATACAATTTATAATATTATTCACTCTATGAAGCATAGTATCCATTGATTAATTGAGGGCTGGTCGCATTTTCCCTCGTTCGCAAAAAAACATACTTGTCACACTTTAACACATGAAATTCAGTGCAAAATTAACGGATGCAGTGTAGTTAACATATGAATAGTTTGATCGGCTACTG